GCATGTAAATGTTTTTTTTTAATATTTATTTATTTATTTGGCTGCTTTGGGTCTTAGTTGTGGCATGTGGGATCTTCGTTGAGGCATACGGGCTTCTCTCTAGTTGTGGCGTGGGCTCCAGAGTGCACAGGCTCAATAGTTGTGGAGCGTGGGCTTAGTTGCCCCGCAGCATGTGGGATCCTAGTTCCCCGACCAGGGATCGAACCCACGTCCCCTGCATTGGAAGGTGGATTCTCAACCACTGGACCATCAGGGAAGTCCCCATGTAAATGTTTTATAAATGCTAAAACATTGGACAAATACAAAGGATTTCTGAGTGTATGTGACGAGGACCTGACACTCACTGAGCAGAGGCATTGCACTTTGCTCTTACAGCCCTTAGTCCAGGGGTCTGAAACCTGAACATGCACCACAGTCACCCCTAGCACATGTGAAAACAGATCACCAGGCCAACTCCCAGGGTTTCCCGGTTCAGTAGGTCTGGGGTGGATCCTGAGATTTTGTGCTTCTAACAAGTTCTCAGTGATGCTGATGCTGTGGTCTGTGGACCTTGCTTTGAGAATCACTGCATTAAATCTGTTATAATGTCTTTACTTGTCACTGTAGTGACTCTTAGAATCACACAGAAACCATCATTCACAAATCTTTTAACACATCCCAGCATTTATCCGAGGCTATTTCTTGTTTCTAATTAAGGTGACAGGCTTGTGCTCTTAAGTGTCTGTTCAGGTAGTACAGGAGCATTGGGAGAACATGGGCAAGAGGGGGATTTGGACTCCTGTTCATTAAAAAAATAATTGTTGTCTCTAATGCAGAGTGGACGATAGGAAGTAGTGTGAAGATTATACAAGCAGATTTTACCAAAGATGACATCTATGAGTATATTAAAGAAAAACTTAAAGACTTAGAAATTGGAATTTTAGGTAAGTAAATTATAAAATGCAAAGCTTGTTGTAATAAATCAGTGAAACAATTATCTTAGTGATAATTGATTATTCAATAGTAGCTTAAACTTAACCCATGACGATAAGCTGTAGCATTAAACCAAATATTAAAGTTCAGTTCTTCAAGAGGAATTACTGGATTAACAAATTTGTATATGACTTTGGAATGTAGCAAATGTACATATTTCCATCTTCCCAACCATATTTCCTAGTATTAAAATATTTTTCTTTCACTGAACTGATATTGACATTTGGCAGGAAGAGGGAAACTCTGGCCTAAAGGAATTAGTTTAGCAAACAAACATCGCTGCAATTGACCCATGAAATAGTGAGTCAGTGTGGTTATCTGAGGACTGACTTTCTCTTTTGGGAAATGAGATACAATTTTTTTCTGAGATAATTTACAGACAATCTGTTTTGTAACCACATCACAGTACAGTGTTTGTATTGTACATAGAAAGAAGATTTTGATTTCTAGAATAATTACATTTTTACTGATAAAAGTGTAAAACATGTTGCAGGAAAATTGGAAAGAACAGATGAGCATGTAAAAGAGCTATGAATTTCTTGAAATCCTGACAGCCTGAGATAGCATCTTGGTATATATCCTTCCAGATACATACACACATATTTTCAAAACCAGGATTAAATGTATGTACTGTTTTGCAACATTACAAAAAATCATACATCACTAATGTTCTCCCAGGTTTTTAAAACCCTGAGCAGTCATAGTTTTGAATGACTCCATTGCATCCCACCACCATGATTCATTTTATGTGCATTGTATTATAGGACCACAATTTCTTTCTCTCCAATTTCCTCACTGTTACCAAATGATGTTGCAACGAACAACCTTGTATATAAATCTTTTGTACATGT